AAGCAATTTCAAAGTTCTTTGCATGGTCTAGTAGACAAAAAGCGGCGCTACAAAACTGCTATCTCGGATTTTCAAAATTTTGGGTTTTTGACCCAAAAAAATTCAAAAAATTGATTTTTTTAGAAAAACTAAAAAAATCCAAAAATTTTCCGAATTTCGAAAAACCCGGAATATGTGTGATAGTCCCTGCACTCTTCTATATACATACCAAATGTCAGATCGATATCTCGTTTTTTGGCCAAGTTATAGCGAAAAAACTGTTCAAAAATGATGACGTCAAATTTTTGAACTCAATTTTTAGCGATTCTAGACCATGTACGGCAAAACAAAGACCACCATTGAACTCCCCGTGACGAGCTGCATCGATTCGATACCCATTTTATGCAAAAAATATTAACTTTGAAATTTGACCTTATTTGACCTGACCTTGACCTGACCTTGACCAAAACGTGACCTAAGCTGGCCCCAAAGGCTGCTTGACCCACATAATCGCATTTGTCATGTAAAATGGGCCATAAAACATGTATCACACGACACTTTCATATTGTTGCCCCCCAGTGACCTGACCTCTGTGACCTGACCTGGTATCAGTGACCTCAAATAGCAAAATATGTGTTTGAAGAACATTTCCCTATCGATGATTTTCAATGAAATGCATTTTACTCGATTTTACAACGCATTTCCTGAAATGCCTGTAAACGGTGAAAATTGGACCTTTGACCTGACCTGTGACGTCATCGGTTTGACCTGGGTCAATAAAATTGGGTCACAAGGTAGTTCCCTGATAGGGCTATCCAACACCGTTTGCCGCTTGTCGCTAGGTTGCGTGGTTCTCGAGATCTTAGGGGGGCCAAAATGCCCCCCCCCCCAGCGTTGCTCGGCAGAGCCCAACGGGGCGTGGGTTAACACGCGCACCGACGGGGGGGGCGGATGTCCGCCCCCCTGAGGTTTTTCGCAAATAGCGGAAAAACCGCGGCGCGAAATTTGGTACGTCTATTCTCTCATCAATATTACACATGGTGTGCAAGTTTGAACCTCCTAACTTTCAAGGTCAGGTCACCAGGTCATTTTGAATGACCCAACCTCAAGTCACTTTTTTGCAACTTTGTCACCGTGCCAGAGCTACAGTAGATGTCGGAGGCCTTTGAAATTCGCAGGTTGTTATGAGATCATTAGTAGCTACAATTTGTATATCACGGAATTTTGATATCGGTGACCTAAGGTCAGGTCAATTTCTCGACCTCCCCATTATAAGTCAATGGGGGAAAATCAACTCCCTGTTTTTACCCAGAAAACGGGTCGGAATGGCACCATATACCATTCATGACTTCATATACGATCAACCTTCACTACCTTGAGGTCTGTTTTGCTATTGGGCAGCTGTAAGGTCATGTGACGTCATCAAAGGTCACCAGCGGTTTTTTGCCAATAACTCCGTACAGGAACAAGATACAGCCGCGCGGATGGTCTCATTGTGTTCAGCTCGTCAAGACGCATCGAATGATATACATGATGACCTCGAGGTCACGTGATCTGAGGTCAACCTTTGACCTTGACCTTTCGAGGTCAACATATATATCATTCGATGCGGATTGACGAGAGGATCACGATGGTGCCCTTAGTTTGTTCCTATCTTGACTAATTCGAAAGTTATTTGAGAAAAACTCTCTATATCTAGCGCCGCCATTTTGAATTTTTTGACCCCTGTGACGTCATCTTTGACCTGACCTGAAAATGACCTGAGTAAAAATTGTAGACCTTGTCCGTGCGTATCCGATGCCGTTTACTGCTTGTCGCTATCTTGCTTCGTTCTCGAGATCTCAGGGGGGGGGGCGGTCATCCGCCCCCCCCCCCGTCGGTACGAAGTTGGCACAGTCGGTGCGCGGCTTAATAGAGCTATAGAGCGTCGCGGAAAAAAAACGAGCGTGTGCTCCGTTACGAGATACAGCAACTAGTACTCGATTTTAATGTCAGTCAGGTCAACCCTGAGGTCTCAGGAGCTCAGCGTCCAACGCAATATCGAGACATGCATGAGGAAAGCAAGCGGCAAATGATATTTATGTGATACATCATAGACCTCTGTACACCGGTGTACAGAGGTCTATGGATACATATATCTCATTTGTCGATTGTTTCGGACATCAACACTCCACAGAGATCAGATTCTAACATTTCACGCCAGACGATTCACATTTCACAACACGTGCCAAATGCAAAGACGATTCGAAACGGTCAAGCTCAGGCTAATAGGCCTGCGCCCTGGTGGGGTCTGCTCATTATAGAGCTGAGTGGGTTTGCTTATAACGCGACCTGGGGGGAGCTATTTTTTGCCCCTCCCCTCGTATCTCTGAAACTACTGGACGGATTCGCAACATTCAAACAGCGTTCGATAGCCCTGTCAAATTTCACAAGGCAAATTTAATTTCATTGACCTCGGGGTCACCGATGACGTCATTGACCAGGTCAAAGATAACACATCACCTACTCGGGTCTTCTAGGGAATGCGCTATAGCATCGAGTAAAACGCATTTTATCGAAAATCGTAGATAGGGCGTCAGTTGCCTAGTACATATGTTGCTAAAAGAGGTTACTGATACCAGGTCAGGCCACAGAGGTCAGGTCATTAATAAGGGTCAGCACATGAACCCAATTTTACTGGGGCTCTGCAATGCATGTTTTATGGTCAATTTTTTATTTCAAATTCAATGGTGCTGGTTAAACGACCCGATCAGGAACGGTTTCGGTTACTTTCTGGTGGAGGTCAGGTCAATGTCAGGTCAGTAAAGGTCAAAGTTCGAAGTTGATATTTTGGCATAAAATGGGCATCGTTTCGATGCTTCCTGTCACGGGGAGTCTGATGGGGTCTTTGTTTTGCGCTACACGTAGTCTAGAACTGCTAAAAATTCAGTTTGAAAATTTGAAGTGAATCAATTTTGAACAGTTTATTTCGCTATAACTTGGCCAAAAAAGAGGTATCGATCTCAAATTAGTTATGTGGATGAAAGACGGTAGTGGCTATCAATTATCATATGTGCTCAGTTTTTTTTTCGAAATTCGAAAACTTTGGGATTTTTTTGGCTTTTATTTTCAGAGTACGAAAGGAGTCCAGCACCTTTTGGGGCTTCGTTTATGGTCGGACAGCATTTTACATTTCTCACTCAGTGCACTATTCAAAAGTTCAACATACTTAAAGGCATCCTTCAAAGCCAGAACCATAGACCTCTGTATGCCAGAGCATATGTTTATGTGCTGGTTTGTTTTACATGTCCAATTGTCCAATCACTCTAGTGTATCAAAATAATAAAAGTATATCTTTTTTAATATTTCAAATCAAAACATGAATAAAGAAATCGGACAATTTTCAGTTGCTGGACATGTTCCTGTCCTGTCAACTTTTTCAGAATGTTTCAGAGGTTGGACCGGATGCAAGAAGAATAAGGATAATGGAATAAGCTGAATTAGGTTTACAAACAGTTGCATTACAATTTGAAAAGCTAGTCGGAGACGTTTGCTTGAAAACAGCTGCTGGAAAAGGTCTTTATTCCAGACTTCAGTTACACATACAATGTTCATGCATACTTAACTATCGCATATTTGATAGATAGTACAATGATGAGATGACACACACCATATGCATATAATACCTGCGTGTATGGCGTATGCAGATTGCTCACAAGACACAAGCATACTTGCACGCACGGCTGCTAAATACATTCCATTGCTCAGCACACATTGCGCTGTCCACATCATACTTTGCACCGTGCGCGCACGGCATACACATTGCACTTACTAGTACACATATGTAAGTAACTAGGCACATTATACGCAACGCATACCTCATGCGTGCAATGAAGCCAGCGGTAATCTAACATAAAGGCTAGCACCAGCGGTAAACAGTTCATATTGACCTGAACTGTGCTGAATTTAAATGACGCATGGCATGAGCCATGACTTAACTTTAAGTTAAAAAATAAAATTGAGCTACAGATGTTGTGGCGTTGGGACCTGCGCCGCCTGCTGGTTGGATAGTCGTCGCCGTCGGTCGGCCAACGTGTTTGGCTGACGTTGCTAGGCAACGGCAAAGCATTCCCAAATGACGCGCATGCGACGAATCCGGCGGACGCCGGCCGCCAGTCGCAGACCGACGAGTGACGCCGGCACGTAGTCGCCGTTCAGAGGGTTGACTGACTGACTCAACACCCTGCTTGTGACGAGCATTTTACTGGTTAATGGTTTCTTCAATTACTAACATCGTTAACTTGTGAGGATAGATACGGGGTGTCCTGCCATCTCAACGCTTGTGTGCTGAAGGAAGGTGTGGCGAATCCAGGTAGGTTCTCTTCCCCATTTTTGATGCCCTATGTTGATTTCAATCCGGTATCAGAGCTTGAACATTGTTTGAACGAGTTTTTTTTTTTAAATTTACAACGATATCTTAAACAGCTTACGCAATCTACCCCATGCTTGCCTTTCGTTTTAAGTACGTATATACCTGCCCACTAACAAGGCTTAGTAAAAATGGAATGCCTCCTTTTGGCAGTAATGACGAAATCTTATCTTATCCTTCGTTTCCCGGTCGTTAAAAAAGGAAGCGGCGCCAGCCTCTGTTTATGTTAGTTGTTACCGGTGATAAATAGATCATACAGCATAAGCGTGCCACTTCTTGCTGAGCGTGCCATGCCACGACGGATAGAACGCGGCAGCCGACATTTAGGTGTGACAGAAGTAATTCGGTCGAGGCTAATGGTATGGCAGAAGTCTGCTGATTAAATGAAAACTACCTAATCCTCTTTGACTAGCAAATTTAGAATGGTCATCCATCTATGAGCTGTTTTATCTCTGGGGACATCTCTGTATAGCAAAGAACTACGCGAAATATTTCTAAGAAGTTTTCCAGGATACGAGATCCATCAAAATATTTTGTCGTGAATTTAACATAAATCTTCTGCACAATACACAATGCAAATTGCGGGTCTCATTTAAATTCAGGAGCGGCTAAATTGTCACGCATCATTGGTATAACCTTTTTAAAATGGTCTTAGCACAGATTGAGCAAAAGCGTCCAAACCATTTAACCACGGCAATTGGTTTTGTACATCGTACATAACGTTCGCCAGTGATAACTTCCAGCTCCTGACTTTTCGACGCATGATGGTAAAATTTCATTCGATGCGTCAATCCTCGCTGCGGCGATAGGCACGTGCGTCTCCGGTCTGCTGTGACAGACAGCACGTTATCCGACTGTCTGGGGCGCAGGAATGCATGGACTATAGCGACTACTGCCGGCTGAGCAGCTCGGACGAAGAGGATCAGCAGCAGCAGCAGCAGCAGCGACGGCGGCGGGGCCAGCAGCCGGCTGATATGACCGAGCTGATGAGCGGACAGGCGTCAGCCGGCAGACATGGCGGCCTGCCCGCCAACGGAGACCTGCCCTTCTACGCCCTGCCCAGGGCCAAAAAGACGTCTGCAGAAATCATACATGAGGTTAGTTGATGACATCCCCTTTCTTTGCCGTTAACTTTTTTGCAACGATTATTTGCAATCCAACAGTCAAGTTTTTTATGCTACTACCCAGTTCCTATTTCATTTAAATCTTTTGCAATATAACTAGTTATTCTATTCCATTCTGAAACACCACATTCTCATGCTTTTATCTGCGCTGATGTGATCACATCATCGGCTGAAAGCTGTTTGACTGAGATCTGTCTCAACTCGAGTGTGACCGCCTCTGGTGTGTGCGTGTGTCGGCTCAGGCTCGCGCGGCGCTCGGAGACGGTCGGGCCGTGGTCCGTACCGTGGACACGAGCCGTCCGTTCACGCCACGAGACCGCCAGAGGACGCTGTTCGGTACGGCCCAGACCTCACCCACGTCCGGCCGGCCCACCAGTGCCTTCAGGTGAGAGCGGAGAGAGGATGGGAGGAAGGATGTCCTGTCTGACTTGTGACATTAGCCTGTAAAACGCGCAGGTCATCGCATACGATTACAGACACGGACATATTAGCGTTATTATATGAGGAAAGTAGACAAGGTAATGGTGTCTTGAGGGTGTGTGGTGTGCAAGCTAATGGCTTTAGTTGAGTGTGTGATGAGTGTGAAATTGAGGGGCAATCAAGTAAGAGTGCAATGCATTTTTAACTTGAGCTTTCAGTATAGGGAAGTGTAAAACCAAGGAGAATATTAGGTCAATACATAAGCGGCACAAAACTACCTTCGGGTGAGCTAGAAGTATAGCGACGTTCTATTACGTTTCAAAGTTTAATTGAAAAGCCGGCATGCCTCTGTTTCAATGGTCTGCCGGTAAGTGGGCGTTGCGGTCGGCGCTGGCCGACACGGTGGAAGACCGTGGATGGTGAGGGGTGGCGGGGCTGTAAGGAACGTCGTCGGTGGTGGTGGGCGGGGTGGGAGGGAGAGGGACGGACTGGACACGCACATTGGGGTGCTATGGATCGGCGTGATCCGGCCATTTAGGCCACCAGGTCACCAAGGCAGGCCAGATGGAAGCCGCGACAAGCGAATAACACGTTGCAACACTGATAGCATCCAAGTACCTACAGTGCAAACATGCAATATCCGTTTGTTATTCGTGTAGGACGTTATTCATTTCATTCACAGTAAAAATAACGTATTTACTGATAATATTACAGAAAATCATAAAACATTAGGTATACTACGTGGGCGATGGTCGGAAGAGAAGGTGATGCTTTCAAGGGATTTGACAAGATGAAGTGAACTGTGTAGGCCCTACAAGCTAAGGTAAATCCATGGTAAATCCTATAACAATAAACAAATGCATCCATCGTAAAACCACAACGATGCCAATATCCCATAACCATCCCCTAACAAACCAAGGTCGGCAAAAAGCATGATTTGTTATGTCCTGCTGTGTCCGCCGCGCAGTCATCCGCTGGCTGCCTGGAGTGGTATACTGTACCGCAGTACGTTAGAGCCGGGCGGGCCAGTCTACCAGCGCAGGCAGGCGCGTAATCCCGGGCTGCGTGCGCGGTGGGCCCCCGACTACGCTTAGTAGTTCCAGATAAAGATCGCAATTTTAAACGCACAGTGTTTGGTATGAGTTTGCGACGGTGTCTATTGTTTAGAGACGTTATATACATCTCCAAATTTCGTGATTTTTATGCCTGGAGGATATAAGGAATGAGCTATGGCATCGACCACGCTGCACGCACGCATTATTCGTTTCGCTGAATAGCCAGTAGGAAAAAATCAGATCCAGACTGTTGTCCACTGTCGTCAATCATCTATCTACTGCCTTGTGTGCACCAATTTCGCATACCTACTGAAGCAGATACACCTCCCTACTAACCGCCGAAACCCTCCAGGTGGCGGTCGATCATTAGTGCACCCGCCTGGTCAGTTCGGCAGTGACCCTGACCTTCGCGCGCACACAGCACAGAGCCGATGGTGACGCCATTCACTGGGGACCCAGTCGCAGACGAACGCCGTCCGCAGAGGCCTGTGTGGGCCGGGGTCGCATTCAGTCGGCGTGACAGTGCCTAGAAGCGGACCCATAGAAAACAGCGGGCATTGGGCGGCGGTCGATTGTGGGCGAACTCAAGGACAAACAAATACGAATTCCCCAGTGCCGACGCCAGGCCGGCGAAAAGCTGGCCAGAATGTTATGCTGAACGTTAGTGTTGAGCGTGACATGCTTTATTTTCGGGGCTTGATTATAAGCATTTAAATACCAGTCTATTCATTAAAAGGACCCTCCCACCTTCAAAAAAGTTAATGAATTGGCATGAAAGTGATGTCGCTCGGTTCAGAAAGAGTGAAAACGAATATCTACCAAATTTCATCGAAAAATATTCACCGGTTTTCAAGATATTAGACTTTAACTTTTGTTTAGGTACTTTTTGAGACCTCCGCTGTTCCTAGCGACTTTATTTGAAAGTTCGGCATTTGTTGCGCGCAAAGCAGCATATACCACCGCGTGCTACCAAACGTTTTAGTACAAGAGTTAAAAATCGTTAGATCTCCGCTGACGTCACAAATTCTAAGGGGGCATTCCAATAGATTAGCCCCTTAGAATCCGAAAACTGCAAGTTTGAAATTCCATATCTCCGAATTAAAGCATTTTTCGATGTTGTGAGTGCCCAAACCGGTATTTCCAGGCCATGGCCACCAATTTGGCTATCTCAACTAAAAACTAATGTTAAGGTGGGATGGTCACTTTAAAACGACATTTTGAGCATTGCTTTAAATGAATGAAAAAAAGCATTATAGTCAGGCTAATAAATCAGGTTGGCCTTTTCCTCGACATCAAAAATGTACAAACCAAAAAGCATATTTAAAAACGGTGAGGACTCGGTCACTGGCTTTTATCAAAGCAACGTGATAGATAGAAAAATTCAAAAACGATGCATTAATTTTTTGAAAGTGCTATCTAACTATCACGTTGGTTTGATAACGTCGAGTGGCCGAAAGCTCACCGTTTCGAAATATATTTTTCGGTTTTATATTTTTGATGTCAAAGAAAAGGTCAAACTTATTTATTAGCCTAATTATACTGAATATGCTCCTCGCTAGAGCACTGAAAAACTTTACTAATCTGAAAATCCATTAGTTGATGTTGGTATAGTCCTCAGTGATAACCCGGCATCAATGCAATTTTTTGGACTAGCAACTGACTTTCAGCAGAAATATCGACTATCGACTATATAACTATATTATAGCTTTCAGTTGAAATGCCGGTGGCAGCAACGGCATGACTGAGCCGTTGCTGGGCAGTGGTTGCCCGCTGTAAATATGGAATGCTAACCTTGAGCTAGAGCTATGTCAACCGATTATTGATTCGGATTCCACAGGTGAAAGGTTACTCAAACGTCTAGTTTCTTCGCATTTTTTATTTTTCTCGCTTCAACGTCTGTTCACTTATCGCGCAGCATGGCGATATGAACCGTTTTCACGACGTGTTATCTGGCGAATACACAAACTTAACCAAATCTGCACCAATTTCTTACAATAGGTAATAGGTATCTTCATACTTATCATAAATTCATTTCGATGTTTCATAATCAAGATTGAAATGGGTGGCCTTTGAATATTTGTTTTAGGAAAACGTTAATTCTTTAGTCACATTTCTGTGAAAGAGCAGTTGTGCAAAAGTAGATTTGGAAATGGCGCCATGAGATCCTAAATCTGTCAGGTAGCATAGGAGCATATTTATGACGCTGAGCCCTGCACTGACCCGCTAGTGACCTGTCGTCGAATCGTTGGTATCTCTGCACTCACCCGGCCGTGACCTGTCGTTCAATCGGTGGCACCCCTGCACTGACCTGCCATTGACCTTTGGGATGATCTGTGCCCGCCTCCAGCCCTGGCTCGGTATGCGGCGCACCACCGGTCGATCACGCCTGGAATGTGACGTGACGGTCACATCGGCTAAAACTGGCAGCCGCAGCCATGACTGTACAGTGTATATGTAGACGGCCGCTTCGGGTCCAATAAGTTTCCAATCTTAAAAAAGCACATAGCTTAGCACAACTATTTCAGATGCTTGGGTTTCATTGGCTGAATTCAATCACAGTAATACGAATGTGTTCCACACTGTCATACGCGCACTTTATTAACCACAGCCACACCCGTAGACTCAAAGAGGACATTAACCGCGGATACTTTGTCATCTCTATCTTTAGAGCAAACATATGTATACCATTGGCTGTACGCTCAGATGTCAAATGCTGCACTCCACAAGCTTAGCATAAACCTTTACAAAAATAACGTTATATAAGCAAGCCATGCTGGTCTAAAATTGCGGAGCCTAATGGGACCTTCAGAAAGGTCATGGAGGAATTTGCCCACAACAGCTTCGACGCATTCGTTCACGGTAATGGGGACGATGCTTGCTCCAATATACCCGCTGATCGCTGCTGATCATGTATCAAGGAGAGCTCCAGCCCCTGCTGAGTGGTCAGAGCGGTAAGCTTACGGAGCCGACGGCTGATCTGTGACCAAAATAGAGCCGGAGAGACCCCTGAGTCCCAGGCCGAGCTCTTATCTCCTGAGCTGGCCTCCGGGCGCCCCGACCGGACACTTCTGTGCTCTGACCTGGCCTCCAGCTCTTTGGCATAATCTCTCATGCTCTGACCTGACCTCCGGCGTCCTGATCTGACTCTCCACGCCTTATCCGCGTGACAGACATGACGTGATGACTTGGTATGATGTGACATGACGTGTCAATGACGTGAAGTAGCATGACGTGACATGGCGTGACATGGCGGCGTCCCAACACTTCCCGGTAGCCGTGATGCGATATCGTGGTACCACCGGTCGAACCTAGAGAGCGGCGTGACAATCGATACATCGTCAGTGATCACGTCCTTTCTCGAAACAACTGCCTTCGTTTTCAATCTGGATTTAAAGGGACCCTCCCACCTTAACATTAGATTTGAGTTGAGATAGCCAAAATGGGGTCCCTGGCTCACAATTACCGGTTTCGGCACTCACAACATCGAGAAATGCCTTAAATCGGAAATAATGAATTTCAAAATTGCAGCGTTTTGATTCAGAGGGGCTAATGCTTTTGAATATCCCTCTGAATGTGTGACGTCAGCGGAGATCTAACGATTTTAAATCTTTTACTAAAACGTTTGGTAGCACGCGGTGGTATATGCTGCTTTGCGCGCAACAAATGCCGCACCTTCAAATAAAGTCGCTAGGAACAGCGGAGATCCCAAAAAGTAAACAAAAGTAAAAGTCTAATATCTTGAAAACCGGTGAATATTTTTCGATAATATTTGGTAGATATTCGTTTTCGCTCTTTCTGAACCTAGCGACATCACTTTCATGCCAATTCATTAACTTTTTTGAAGGTGGGAGGGTCCCTTTAATGTCCATAATGTATATATTTGTTTAGAATAGTGTTGAAAATTACCATTTTGCTCGTAACTCTTAGAAAGTGAAAAATGTTTATTCTTGTTATGAGCCTGCAAAAAGCTTCATTCCTAAATATCATCATCTTTTAACTTATTTTCATCATTCTCATCTTACGTTCAGATACATAGTTAATGCCATAGATAACATGAATCATGCTATCTAATATCTATGCTAATGCATATTTCCTTATATACTTTCATATACCTGCTCATGATATAACCACGAAAATGCGTGTACCTTACCAGTTACCTACTAAACTATCAGTGGTTGTTGTATAGTTAGACAAATCTCAATTATCTAAACTGCACCGACAGTTGTGTGCAATTAACTAATCGTGATCGGTCATTGATTATCATAAATGCTGGATAACAGAGCTTATCAGTGAAATTGCTGCTTTAAGACTTCCATACGCCAGTGTGTCTAGAATGCGTTTATGACTGTACGTACAAGTGTACAGGTTCTGGGCATGCTCTGTACGAACTCAACTCAACTAAAGGTTTCCGCCAGACCATTTTATGGACGAGCTAATTCTGTTCTCAGTTTCATCGAAGTTATGTGTTTATGACCTAGCTGTCGGTCTCAAAGGATTTCCGAGTTCCACGAACGGCACAATCGACTACTGTATCAGTAAAAACAGGCCGTGTTTTGCTTTCTAAGCGTTGTGTTCTGGTTCTCTGTTGATGCCCTCCGTGCCAGGCACGCACTGCTTCTCTCTGATTGGTCGACGATGAACCGCGTCACGCGTGGCGGCTCTCTGATTGGTGGCAGCCTCCGGCGATCGCGACTGATCGTTCACATGATGCGCGTGACGCATTTAGAGGCAATTCAGACGGTTCCTCGTCGACCCCCAGTGGAGGGATAAGAGGAGGGGTGGTGACTGGCACCACCAGCCAGACTCCTTCCACCGTCCACATCGCGGCGGTCCATTCAATCATGGGCCAGTTTTACCAACAGAAAAATAGCCGCCTGCCGGAAAAATAGCCGCCGCCTGCATGTATGTCTCTCTGTCGTCCTTCTGCATTCCCGCTCCCTAGGCTCACGTCCCAGGGGTCGGGCTCGGCCAGCCTGTACCGTTCGTCGGAAGTGACGGGCGATGGCCGTCTGTCGTGACAGGACCGATTGGGGTCGGTGACGTCCTTAGCACTGATGGCAGCGGACGCTCTGCCGAGCCTCTCGCAGAGACGTGCCGCAGGAATGGGGACAGCGGGAGCTAAGGGAAGCTCACGGGACATAACGGGACCTATGTGGAGGTTACGCGGGACAACGGCACTTAGAGGGTAGCTCCCAGGGATTTAGGGCTCGCCTCTGTACGATGCATTTTACTGTGGAATGCTGTAAAATACATGATACAGTATTCCACTTCACTTGACTTACGGAACCAGCACCCAAAGGAAAATGATAATTGAAAGCAATCGAAAGTAAGGCAAAACTAAACAAATGAGATTGCAAAATGCGTTTTATGACTGTTGTAGAAGATGAAAAGCCTTAGGTGTGGACCGATATTGGTCTTAAAATCTCAGGCACTATTTTATTCTAGCCTTCTTTGCTGAGCGCTGCTTTGATGTCAACTGACAACGGTTCTGTTTGTGGTGTCGTTTCAGCATGAACAGCCTGAGTTTGAGTTTCGACACGAACGATTCTCGGCCAGTGTCCGGAGTTCGTCTTCTACCACTCACCACCGGCCGGTGTTCATTCGGAAAGAACGGCAACTCGCCGCGGCAGGAGTCGATCGAGAACGTCACCTTTCCGGCACTGTCAGGTGAGCCAGCGAGTCACTGTCATATGTCAGACACTGTCAGGTGAGTCAGCGAGTCACTGTCATATGTCAGACACTGTCAGGTGAGTCAGCGAGTCACTGTCATATTTCAGACACTGTCAGGTGAGTCAGCGAGTCACTGTCATATGTCAGACACTGTCAGGTGAGTCAGCGAGTCACTGACATATGTCAGACACTGTCAGACTAGTCACAGAGTCACTGTCATATGTCAGACACTGTCAGGTGAGTCAGCGAGTCACTGTCATATGTCAGACACTGTCAGGTGAGTCAGCGAGTCACTGTCATATGTCAGACACTGTCAGGTCAGTCACTGTGTCACTGCCATATGGTATAGACACTGTCAGGCTATTCACCGAGTCATTGACATGTCAGATACTGTCAGGGTAGTCATTGTGTCACTGACATATGTCAGACACTGTCAGGGTAGTCATTGTGTCACTGACGTATGTCAGATACTGTCAGGGTAGTCATTGTGTCACTAATATATGTCAGACACTGTCAGGCTAGTTACCGAGTCACTGGCATATGCCAGACACTGTCAGGGTAGTCATCAAGTCACGCCATCAGTCAGATACTGTCAGATATTTCCTGACATGTTTCTAAGGATGTCATTTATTTACATTCAGGACTCGCAGTGTCCATCGTAAGAATAATGAGTTATGTGCGTTGGGCACATACCCTTGGCGGGCCTTGCATATAACACGTGACCCACAGCGCACAGCCATGGTTTTTACTTCTTACAAATTCTGCTTACGCTGGTAGCTAATTAGCTTCTAGCTGAAAGTTAAGTTACATAAAGCGTGCTTTTTTGTAAAGTAACTGCACTCGGACCACGGACGTATAAATAAACTGGACCCGCAACCACCTCCATTCAGGTGAAGCCGACAAGGCGCCATTTTACGTTGCCAAAAAACCGTGCTCTGGAAGGTCATCGAGCCAATACAATTAGACTCGCGTCCAAACGGATGATCGGATCGAGATGCTGGTGGTACCGTTCGACGGGTAATTCCTTGAGGCAGGTGATGATGGATGTCACATGTCACTCGGTGTCACATGGCGCGTGCCACGTGCCGACAAACTTACAAAGGGCAAAAACCTTTAAGCGACGCTTCAAATCAAACGAAGGGCGGCACAGGTGCCAAACTCACAGGTCACATGTCCCAGTGTTGGACCACTAACATATGGTATGCTCGGCATCAGGGGGTGCGGAATGCACGCGCTAGTGGCGAAAAACATGTTTTGAGGTGGCATCCTCCGATTCCGGAAAACCTTGACCTAGGCACACCAAATTTGGCACACTGGGGGATCCGTGCTATCGTAAGTTATATCGGACGTGGCTGCGAAACTTCTCTCGGTACGAAACTTCTCTTGATCGGAAGAAAATCGGAGGGATGAAAAAGAAAGAGGGGCAAATCGGAGCTACGTTGTACGTAAGTTGTTTCGCAGCGTTTAAATGCCAGTTTTACTACGATTTAAATGCCAAGCAGATCAGCTGACCTCGTAGTACCATGTCGATAAGGTCGAATTCCCCATACGTCTATAGTGTAAAAGTGACCCCTATTGCAAAGGGGCTGTCAGGGACATCTCCTCCTCTGTAAATTTGGAGGGATCATGTGTCGGCATTCCCACGTTCGTTTCGGAGTCCATCTGTTCCATTTGGAGCCCGTCAGTTGTCGTCAAGAGTTGGCGCAGCGAGCGCCCCGAAGACTGCGTCTGCGCACGAGGCTTCGCGATGGAGGAGTATTTTGACGAAATCGCCCTCGCTGCAGAAGAAATAGAGGGACTTGTTGAGAAAGAGGAGGCCGCAGTGTGCCGACGACTTTAAACTGTACGCCAACGCCAAGACCAAGGCAATCAGGGGGCGCTCAGATGATCGGGAGGTTTCAATTGATCAGGGACCCACCAGGTGACCAGGGAACCCTCTGATAATCAGGGGTCCTTCCAATAACCAGGGACTCCTTCAATAACCAGGGGCCCCTCAGTAAACGTGGGCCACTCAGGTTACTGCAAGAGACAGGAGTCCCTTATAACCAGGGACCGGCAAGGTCTCTCAGGTCCGTTTTTGACAAAGCTGTTATTGATGTCATATGCGAGCCCTTTGCCACCAGCAGAGGACCCTTTCAAGCCTTTTTAGGGCCGTTTAACGTCTCTTGAGTTTCCCTTGAGGCTAAGGGCCTCTTCAGCAGCCGAGGGGTCTTTGAGGCCTTTTTGAGGGCCTCTTAACGTCAGCTGAGGACCGTTGGACGCCATCTGAGGACCGTTTGGGGCTTTCTGATGGCCAGTAGATGCCAACTGAGGGCTCTCTGACACCAGCTGAGGGCACGCTGACACCAACTGGGGGCCTCCTGACACCAACTAAGGGCGCTTTTATATTTGACACGAGCTCAGGGCCCTTTGACGCCCTTTGAGACCTTCTGAGGTCCGTTTGACGCCAGCAGAGGACCCTTTGGGGTCATATGAGGGCCCTTTGCTGCCTTCTAAGCGGCCTTTGGGGCTTTTTGAGGGCCGCTTGACGCCACTTGAGGACCGTTGCGGTTGGACTCCAGTTACGGACCGTTTGAGGCCTTCTGATGGCCATTTTGCGCCAACTGAGGGCCCTCTGACACTAGCTGGGGGCCCTCTGACACCAGATAAGGGCCCTTTAAGGCCTTCTGAAGTCCGGTTAACGCTAGCGGAGGGCCTTTTGAGGCCAAATGAGGGCCCTTTGAGACCTTATAAGGGCTCCTTGAGGCTTTTGAGGGCCGCGTGACGGCATCTGAGGACCGTTGTACTCCAGCTGACGACCGTTTGAGGCCTTCAGATGGACTTTTGGCGCCAGCTGAGGAGGGCTCACTGACACCAGCTGGGGGCCCTCTGACACAAGCTAAGGACTCTTTAAGGCCTTCGGAGGGTCGTTTGACGCCAGCTCAGGGCCCTCTGACGCAGGTTTAGGGCCCTTTGACGTCCTTTAAGGTCTTCTGAGGTAAGTTTAACGTTGGCTGAGAGCCCTTTGAACCCATCTGAGGGCCCTTTGAGGCCATCTTGTGGCCCTTCATTTGGCCATCTGAGGGCCCTTTGACACCAGATGAGGGCCATTTGACGCTAACCGAGGGCCCTTCCAGACCATCTGAGGATCCGGTGACCCCATCTGTGGGCCCTTTGAGGTCTTTTGAGGGCCATTGAAATTTCACCACAATACCCTTGGCTGCGCTACTGGGCATTTATGGACTCGTATGGGCCTGCTTGGGAACGAGATGGGCCCTCCCGGTCTTTTCAATCATTATTTCAGTTCATTTTACATGGTCTTCGGCGGTCTAAAGATTAGGGGCCCCAACTCGAATGGGGGGGGGGGGGGGAGGCCCGTGTGCCCTCTCTTGTGTGCGGCCTTGCCGACACTACACCGCTTCCCCTCCCTCCGCCATAAACGCACCGCTGCACTGTTAGGCGCCGACAAATACGGACCGGCGCCGCAACCGGCTCCCCCGCGGCCTGCCTCGCGTTGACATAGCCCTTCCCGAACAGTAGTGTAACCCCCACGCGGCCTAGGTATCGCCGCGCCCACCTGTCCGCGGCGCGGCCTCTGATGGCGTATCGCATCATTGATGGTGCGATACATGTTTTGGTCAGATTTTCTCAATTAACGCGAAAAAAATGCCCAACACACTTTATAAATTTCAAAATTGAAAAAAAAAATTACAAAAATGACGTGAAAGTGACCGTTTTCAACGTGTAAATTTAAAACGCTCTAGCGCAGCCATTTGTGAAGAAATCGACTTCAAATTTGGCACACGTGTTCATCAACCATATTTGTTTTAACATATATTTCGGTTTTGTGAAAATTTTGAAAATTTCTTATATTTTTCTCTTGAGAAAGAGGTAAAGCTTCGCTACGATCGGCCTTCCGATCGACCGAGAAGATTCGTAAAGTTTGTTCGTATCTTCACCATTTGCGATACAACTTGCGTATCTACTTAGCCTACGATGTGATGGATCCCTCCAATATCTGTTCCGATTCAACTTACGTTTGATCGCAACTGCGAGGTGCCTTGCGATCACATGGATCCCCCCAGCCTGACACTACTGGACACGCGCTTTAACCCTCGCATGTGTAGGGGGGGGGGGGGTCGGATGGACCCCCCCCCATGGTTTTTCGCGAATAACTCGCGTAAAAAGCGGCCGATCGCGACGAAACTTTCAGTACCCTCGCATTGATCAATTTTACACCTACCCTGAAAATTTCATGACCCTGACCCAAATGACCTTTGACCTGTGACCTCTTTTCCGAGACCATGTTTGGCCGGAATCGCGATTTCGCGTATGTCGGCTCGCACTAGCCGCGTGTTTGCAAGCTTTTCGTGGTTTCAAACGTTCAAACATGTGATTTGATGTTACTCCCGTGTGTGTCAAGGTCACCTGAAGGTCAGGTCAGGTCATTGACCTTTGGTGACCTCGGGTGACCTCGGGTCACTTTTTCGAGTTTTACATGTTTCTAGGCTAGTTTTTGGAGCTGAATTCGAATTTAGCAACCATTTGAACATTTACGAAGTAGTTTTGGTGACTTCGTAACATGTTACGAAGCTGTCAGAGGCGGTTGACACGTACTACGAATACCCGTCACGACGCCTACTGGTTGACCTGACCTGACCTGACCCGACCTGGTCTAAATGCTTCAAGACATCATCTGTGATCAAAACTAACACGATATTCGTGATCAGCACCCCGAAAAACTCCTTAGCAGCCACACTTTACGACTTTCTAACAGGTCCCGATTTTCCCGACTTTGGGTCATTGACCTGACCTGGAAGGTCAACCAATGACCTAGGACCTTAAAATTGGGTATCATCGGCTTCCTCTCGTCACGGGCAACACGCTCGTTTTTTCCGCGAAGCTCTAGCTCGATCAGGGGCCAAACGGCAAGGGGGGGGTCCAACCGACCCCCCCCCTACACATTAGAAGCTGGCAAACGCCGCACACATGCGAGGGTTAAGGTGCTGTACAAATAG